AGCAACAGCTAAAAGACAGAAAACTACATAGACCATGATCCTTTGCTTTCTCTCTCAATCCAATCTACATGATGAAATAACTGTTATTAAACACTTTTAAATCTTAATTATTGGGATTATGACACAAAAGGTAGCATATATGGAGATAATTTGTTCCACTAGATTTTGAATTTTAAATACCTCTGAATTTCTCACTACAAATTCAACAGTGAAAATTCAAAGTGTAAAATTCACAGGGAGAATTTTCACAGCAAAGACCCAAGATGCCAAGGCAGAAGCAATCGATCATTGAATGAGGAGGACAGAGGCTGTTTCCTATTGGCTGTTCTCATCTGTGGGCGGGGCTTACACTTAAGAAATAAAAATGATGACGTTTTGATGAGGTAAATTCTGACCAATCAGATCGCTCCATTACACCATTTGCTGCTTGTTACTGAGTTAGATTGGGATCACTTTGGATTGATTCCTTAAGCCTTGGCATCTTGGATTTTTGCTCTTTTCAGAATTTTGACTGTTGAAAATATTTGTGCTGAATATTTAAATGATGATTTTTTTATTTATTTATTTTTTATGTTGAATTTTAAACACTTTGAAAATATACACTTAAAATTTCAGCAACAAAAATTCAGAATAAAAATGATTCAAACATGTTTTTTGAGAGTTAAAAAATTCCAAGTGAGAAATTCAACAGCATTTAAAACTCAAAATCTGATGAAAAAAAAAAGACATCCACAATTTTGTTAGCCTCCACAAAACAATACATATATCGTGAAAATATATCGAGACATTGGATATCATTACATCTAGGGCTGGGTATCATTGAGAAGTTGCCAATACGATACATATCTCGATACATAGGCCACGATACGATACATATCTCGATACATAGGCCACGATACGATACATATCTCGATACAGTGCGATTTCAATTCAATACGATATATTTCAAATCGATTCAATACAGTTCAATAAAAATAACAGCTAAATCATGTCTGTGATACTAAAAGTCTTTGTTAAACCACTTTTTGTGCAAAGTTCATATGAAACACAAACATTTTATTCATCAAATGTCAAATGTGTCACATAAAAAAGTTTCCTTCTAATGTAATAAGGAAGGAGGACATGTATTTGACAAAAATAGTTTTAGCTGCATCTAAAAAGGGAATTACAAAGAATTGGTTACAACTAGGGATGGGCTTGATTAATCGATTAATTGATAATTGATCATTAAGAATTTCATCGATTACGTTAATTTTAATCGACAAACCGAATGTAGGTTGCTGTGCGTAGCGTGACCAAACAGGGCTCCATACATGTCGCTCTCTGCACTCAGAAGGAGCGAGACACAAACATTCGGTTAGTCTGCAGCGTGCCGAAGCACAAATGCGTATTTAACGATGATTGTACAAGAAATTCCACGCTTTCCGTTGCGTTCGGGACAAGTGTGAGTTCATGTGCACAGTGCACAAAGCAAGAACATATGTTTCTGTGTCCAGTGGGAAAAAGCTTTACCAGGTGAGAGTCGCGCAATGTCGATGACGAGTCCCCATCTCCCACCTCCTGTACGATGTCCTGGTTTTGACAAACACAAATATGGTCACACTAACCTGTATTCCACTGAATCATGTCTTTTAATCCGACAGAAATTGACCGCATCAGCGACACAAGAGCTGCAATTTTATCTTCTTATCTTGAGTTTATGCAAATTAGCGATGCGGTTTTAAGTTTCGTTTCTGTGAGAGTTGCGCAAAACTGAATTAAACACATCATAATGTCAAACGGATTGATGTGGCTCTAGAGTCGTTACGGTTTATATGTCGTAAAGTTGAATTTATTTATGCAGATTAGTAGTGCAGATAGTAATAATAATGATGATCATTTTAATATAAAAACGTTAATGATTAATCGATAATCAATCGTTAATTCTTCCGACGATCGATTAAGAAAATTTCATCGAATACCCGTCCCTAGTTACAACCTGCACAACAAGACTGGATCAGGATTGTGGAAAGAATAACATATAATCTTAAACTGAAAGGGGACAAATACGATGAGTAATGGGAAAAATGGAATGTATTTATAAGTGACACCAGTAAAACAACATAGTACATAAAAATGTCCATACCAAATGCATGTTTAAACAAGAACCTGTAACTCCAGACTGTTGTTACATTGTTTTTGATTTTATATTGTTTTTGTATGTTTCAAAACTGTAGCTGTAACAAAATTATTTAGTAAAATGTCACAAAAAAATACTCTTGGTGATATATCGATACAGCAGCCCACGATATCGATATTGTATCATAACATTAAGATACAATATATCTATATTTCAATATTTTTGCACACCCCTAGTTACATCCCTATAGGCCGCTGTATTTAATTTTGTTAATGCATCAAAAGTGGTGTATGCGTTTTATATAGAACTTCTGCTATATGTATAAAGTGCACCACAAGTAAGAACAGAATGGGCCTTTTAACAATACAGAGTGAAAAGGAGCTTAAATTTGTGTGAGTCAGCCACTTTAGCATTTAAACTACAAAACTGAATGCTAAAATCTTGCAACTAGTTATAGGCTTTTTTATGGGCAATTTGTGTACTTCCAAAACAAACATAACAGTATTTTAATGTATGGTATTTTCTGAATTCAGGTTATTTTCTGACTTTGTTTAACAGGTTTTTAAGTACATTTGAGTGAGGCAGTTGAAGTAATACAGTAATTTCTTTGTAATTTCTTCTTAATGTTGTGGGAAGTTTGTATTCTTTATTACTACGGGAGGCTGTTAATACCTATCAGATCAACATAAAGTGAAAGTGAAAGTGCTGATGGTTAAATAAGTGCTGTACTTAAGTAAAATAACTATAATTTTTACTTAAGTAGGTTTTAAAGCAGATACATTTTGCTTTTACTACACTACATCTGAAAGCGGGTGTCTGTCCTTTCTACTCTACTACGTTTTTGAACAGGACAGAAAAGTAAAAGTATTTTTTATTATAATTCGAGACCTGCTTGAAAGGCTGAGGGGTTTATTTTTGATGCTTTCATAGTCTGAGGAAACAAAAATATAACAAAAATACACAATTAAAAACAGGTAGGAAAAATAAATTCAGTTCTTTCAGTACAAATCTTAATATCAAAATCACTACATTTGAAGCTTTATTAGAAAATCAACATGAAATACTTTTTACTTTTTACTCTTTAAGTACATTTTTAAACGGGTACTATAATACTCAAGTAGATTTTTTTCATATAATACTTTTACTTGAGTTTTTCTAGCTGTACTTTTACTTAACTAACAAAATTGAATACTTCTTCTTCCAGCACTGGAGATATGTGTTATACAATATATAACATTGTGAGAAACTTAAACACTGTCTGTGGAGGCTCCCCACAGAGTTAAAAAATAAAAAATGTAATAATGAAAGAGATAAGACATTAGGGGTGGAAGGAAGCTCAACTTGCTTTGTAGATATAATTTAAATAACGAATGTTATAAAAGGGCCTGTCCCCAGTTTTGTATTTGAGCAAAATTTGCCTTCCCCCATCACAGATATTGTATTAAATATTATATAAGCAGCTTTTGTAAACTCCACTCCTCTCAAAGTTGTGAGAAATGCTCATAAACAGAATGCATAGGTAAAGTGGGGAATAACCTTGGACCACTGCAAACTGTTTAAAATGAGCTACTTGTAGATCTGCATTTATAATTTTCAGCCTTTAAAGGTCCTATATTACGTATTATTTACTCTTGTGAGCTTTAAGTTAGAATGTTGTTACCTTCTCAAGAACATACCTGGAATTAAGACAATTTCGATTTGTGTGTCAAACGATCTCCAAACTCATATAATCGAGTTGAAACGATTTTAAGCTTAACAAGTTTATTTTGGGGTATTTTTTATATAAATAAACATCTTTATTTTATTTTTTTAATATAGAGATTGTAGAACAGCTGGATATATAGTTTATTTTGCATACATGTATGTTTTTCTGTGCCTTATTTCATGTTTGAAGTATTTTTTTTATTCATTTTGTTTTATACATCGCAAAACTGAAAATAAATATAGGCTACAAATATGAGCAATTTGAAAGTTTTACATACATTATCAATAACAAAGTGGGTTTTTTGAGAGAGAAATACTGAATAAATGCATCGTGTAACTAAAAAATAATCGTTTGAATAATCGTGATTTCAATATTGACCAAAATAATCGTGAATTTTTTTATTTTATTTTTTTTCCATAATCAAGCAGCCCTACCTGGAGTTGTGTTTTGTTTCATTCACACATGTTTAACTCTTTATTCTTAGTCTGTCTACATCGCTACAATCTCAAAACGCTCTGTCCCACCTTGTGATGTCATGTAGTGAAAGTTTTCAAGTTACCTTTTACCTTTTTGTTCAGTAGAGATCGGCAATTCCAGGACTGAAAATGATTCTAGTGAAGGTGAATGGAGTTTAAAAACACAGTGGAGCACCTGATATCACAACTTTTTTCTGTTTGCAAGAAGAACTCAGCCTAAATATTGCAGGATTTGTGTGTTACGCTTATGTGAATGAAACAAAACACAACTCCGGGTGTGTTTTTGATGAGGAAACAGATTAGAAAATGGCGTAATATGGGCCCTTTAAGCAGCGTTTTGTAACATTATCGCAAATTTTCTTTACATTTGTGGCCCTGTTTACTGCTTTTTGTAACTAAATCCAGAAGTTTGCACACTGGTCTGCTCACGCGCTCATTTGCCTGATAAGTAAAGTGCACATCTTGTAGTCGAAGTGTACATTGAAGGGCCCTACGGACATGACAAATGACAAGTGCATATGCTGAGTGAGGGTCTGGCTGAGAGGGGCGTCGCGTTCCCCTACGATGGTGCTCAAGTGTACGAGAGCACTGCGGAGATACGAGAGGCAGAAATGGCTCGTGAATTGCCGCCACTCCATTTCCTGTATTGCTCTGCGGGCTGACCTCTGACCCCCGTCTCCCTCTCTTGTTTCCATTGCAGTGTATTCTGGGATTTGTATTGCGCGGCGCCGGACCGGAGAGAAACGTGTGAGCACTCCAGCGAGGCCAAAGCCTTCCATGACTATGTAAGTACACCGGGAATAAAGGGATTGGTACCGTGTGTGTGTGTGTCTGTGGCGGAATGTTTCGGTAGTTACCATAGTGACGCAATGTAAACACTGACGAATAATTTTAGAAATCTGAATTGAATCACAATATGGTTTTAAACAACACAAATCAATATGAACAATCCATGTGTTATTCACAAAAAACAACAATTTTCTTCATTATTTGTCTCCAAAACCAAAATGAAAAAAACGGATAACAGATTTGTTTTTTCAGTTTTTGTTTGTGTTTAAATGAATAATGGAAAAAACAGATAACGTTTCCTGTTTCTGTGACTTAAACTGTGATGCTGAATTTTTGCACCGCATATGGATTGAACCAGGACTAAACCAGAACTAAACCAGAAATGAACCAGGACAAAACCAGGACTAAACCAGGACTAAACTAGGAATGAAACAGGACAAAATCAGGACTAAACCAGGACAAAATCAGGACAAAATCAGGACTAAACCAGGACTAAACCAGGACTAAACCAGGACTAAACCAGGATTGAACCAGGACTAAACCAGAAATGAACCAGGACTAAACCAGAAATGAACCAGGACAAAATCAGGACAAAACCAGGACTAAACCAGGAATGAAACAGGACTAAACCAGGATTAAACTAGGAATGAAACAGGACTAAACCAGGACTAAACCGATCACAACCCTGGTCTCAGTCCTGATCTGGTCCTGGTCTGATTCTGGTCTCAATTCTGGTCTGGTCCCAGTCTCAGTCCTGGTCTGGTCCTGGTCTCAGTCCTGGTCTGGTCCCTTTCTGGTCCCGGTTTCAGTCCTGGTCTGGTCCTGGTCTGGTCATGGTCCCAGTCTTAGTCCTGGTCCCAGTCTCAGTCCTGGTCTGGTCCCGGTCTTAGTTTTGGTGTGGTCCTGATTCCAGTCCTGGTCTGGTCCCGGTCTTAGTTTTGGTGTGGTCCTGATTCCAGTCCTGGTCTCAGTCCCAGTCCCGGTCTCAGTCCTTCTCACCGGACAGTCTACACGGGTGCACCTCTGGGCCCATCCCGACACTCAGTCCTGTTTTAGTCCTGGTTCAGTCCTGGTTTAGTCCGGCATCGCAGTTTAAGTCACGGAAACTTTAATTTAAACACAAATCGTTATTTGTTTTTTCATTTTGGTTTTGGAGACAAATGCTAAAGAAAATACTTTTTGTTTTATTTTGAAAAACCAATGAACGGATTCCCGCCAAGTGAGTTCTTTGGTCAGATTGTCACTTGTAAGTTTTTCAATTCCCTGTTTATTTCTTAGTTGTTGATCCTGGCTTCTTGTCATGTAAATGCTTTAAGAAATTCAAATTCTGACTTTAGCTTTGACCCTTTGAGGCTGCCGTAGTTCAGCATTACAGTGATTTGAAATGAGCGGAGTTTACAGCATTAATCATTCGAGTAGTTCTGACTTGATTTGATTATATTGGATTTAAATTGGTTTTGTTTAATATGCATCTCATTTTGTTTTCAAGCAAAGATGCTCTTGAAATGAGAAACAAAAATCTTATTTCGCTGGAAAATCATTTTGCCTGAAGTATGAAACGATATTTTGAAACAGTTGAGAAAAATCTTAACTAGTTATCTCTAATCCTTCAAGTAAAGAGTTTCTACTTGTCAAAAGTACTAGGAATGAATATTCAGAATTCAAAAGTACCACTCCTGGCAACTTTCATTTTTATACTGAATCTTTAAGACTCCAAGTTTTAGCTTTTGTCAAAAAAACTAAATTATCTACATCAATACGCATCAGCACAGACAGAAATTTTTTGATCATTTAAACACATTTTTACGTTTGACCATATTTACATCTGAAAATTCGGATAATTTCTCTGTGAATTTCACTTCTCTCACTACTAACAATCATTCATTTTACATATTAAACATTTGTAAAATTAGCCACAAGAAAAGCAGAACACATCTATTTACATTGCATTGACCTGTGCCTTTTTAAAATCATGAAGAATTTTACCAGAAGTGACCAGACTGGACTAAAAATACCACAAGACCACCAGTAAGTCCACTAAACTGAGCAGAACTGGACTTGATTTTAGATTTTCGGCACTCTAGATCTAAATCTAAAACTAGGGTGTGGACATTTGAGTTGTTGCGTTGTGTTGTTTTAGTTGTTTTTTCCAAGTCTCATCTCGTGAAGAAGACATGGATATACTGAACTCGATTTTAGATTCTCCACACTCTAGAAAAACAAATTTTAAACTAGGGTGTGAACGTTTGAGTTGTGGGTCCAGTCTTGTCTCACCACGAAGACAAAGGTACATTAAGCTTGATTTTACATTTTCAACACTCTATATCTAAATCTAAAACTAGGGTGTGGACATTTTTATTGTTGCGGCCCAGTCTCGCCAGGAAGACAAAAGTACATTAAATTTGATTTTAGATTTACAGCACTCTAGATCTAAATAAAAAACTAGGGTGTGGACATTTGAGTTGTTGCGTTGTTGTTTTAGTTATACTGAAGTAGGGTGTGGACATTTTTATTGTTGCGGCCCAGTCTCGCCAAGAAGACAAAGGTACATGAAACTTGATTTTAGATTTTTAGCACTCTATAGGTAAATCTAAAACTAGGGTGTGGACATTTGAGTTGTTGTGGTGTGTTGTTTTAGTTGTTGTTGCCAAGTCTTGACTCGCCAAGAAGACATGGACATATTGAACTTGATTTTAGTTTCTCAACACTCAAACACATTTAAAACTAGGGTGTGGACATTTTTATGGTTGAGGCCCAGTCTCGCCAAGAAGAGAAAGGTACATTAAGCTTGATTTTACATTTTCAACACTCTATATCTTAATCTAAAACTAGGGTGTGGACATTTTTATTGTTATGGCCCAATCTCGCCAAGAAGACAAAGGTACATTAAAATTGATTCTAGATTTTGAGCACTCTAGATCTAAATCTAATACTTGGGTGTGGACATTTGAGTTGTTGTGGTGTGTTTTTAGTTGTTGTGGCCCAATCCCGTCTCGCCAGGAAGACATAAGTACATTGAACTTGATTTTACATTTTCAGCACTCTAGGAAAAAATCTCAAACTAGGATGTGAACATTTGAGTTGTTGTGGTCCAGGCTCATCTTGCCAAGAACACATGGGTATATTGAACTTGAGTTTAGATTCTCAACACAGAAAAAACTAATGTTATACTAGGGTGTGAACATTTGAGTAGTTATGGCCCAGTCTCGTCTTGCCAAGAAGACAAAGGTACATTCAACTTAATTTTAGATTTTCAGCACTCTATATCTAAATATAAAAATAGGGTGTGGACATTTGAGTTGTTGCGGTGTGTTTTTAGTTGTTGTGGCCCAGTCTCATTTTGCCAGGACGACATTGAACTTAATTTTAGATTCTCAACACTGTAGAAAAAAAAACACATTTTATACTAAAGTGTGAACATTTGAGTTGCTATGGCCCAGTTTAGTCTCGCCAAAAAGATAAAGGTATACATTAAACTTGATTTTGGATGTTCAACACTCTAGAAAGAACACATGTTAAACTAGGGTGTGAACATTTGAGTTGCTATGGCCCAGTCTTGTCTCGCCGAGAAGACAAAGATATATTAAACTTGATTTTGGATTTTCAGCACTCTAGATCTAAATTTAAATTTAGGGTGTAGACATTTGAGTTGTTGTGGTGTGTTGTTTTAGTTGTTGTGGCCCAGTCTCGTCTCGCCAAAAAGTCATGGTTATATTGAACTTGATTTTAGATTCTCAACACTGTAGGAAAAAATCTAAAACTAGGGTGTGAATATTTGCATTGTTGTGGCCCAGTCTTTTTTTGCCAACAAGACAAAGGTACATTAAACTTATTTTAGGTTTTCAACACTCTAGGGAAAAGGAAAAAACTAGGGTGTGAACATTTGAGTTGTTGTGGTCCAGTCTGGTCCCTTGAAGATGACAAAGGTACATTAAACTTGATTTTAGATTTTCAACACTCTATGAAAAAATCTCAAACTAGGATGTGAACATTTGAGTTGTGGCTCAGTCTCGCTAAGAAGACAAAGGTACATTAAACTTGATTTGGGATTTTCAACACTCTAGGAAAAAAACTAGGTTGTGAACATTTGAGTTGATATGGCTCAGTCTCATCTTGCCAGGAAGACATAGGTACATTGAACTTGATTTTAGATTCTCAACACTCTAGGGAAAAAAATAGGGTAGAAACATTTGAGTTGTTATGACCCAGTCTTGCCAAGAAGACAAAGGTACAATAAACTTGATTTCTGATGTTCAACACTCTAGAAAAAAAAACACATTTAAAACTAGGGTGTGAACATTTGAGTTGCTATGGCCCAGCCTCATCTTGCCAACAAGACAAAGGCACATTAAATTTGATTTGGGATTTTCAACACGCTACACACAAAAAAAAAAAAAAAAAAACTAAAACTAGGGTGTAAACATTTGAGTTGTTGTGGTCCAGTCTGGTCTCGCCACGAAGACAGAGGTACATTGTGTCTGCTAGCCGTATAGTGTTGGAGATAATGGAATAGACTTCTAATCCGCTAAGCCTCGCACTGGTCCGCAGCTAAACCGGGATTTAGCTGTGTGTGTGTGACCTCGTGTGTGTGCGTGTGTGTGTCTGTGTGTGTCTGTGTGTGTTTGTGTGTATTTTTGGATAGGCCATCTTTGACAATGAGCTGGTAAGGAGGAGGAAGGTGCTAGGGCAAAGTGACAGCCAGTCCACGCTGCAGATACAGTACAGCGATGGTGAAGACTGAGAGGAGAGGCAATGGTTAGGGATAGGGATTTTATTTTATTTTTATCATTAATCAGTACTCAACACTCATATACGGGGGGAAATTCCCTGATATAACACCAATGTTTTTCTAAACTGCATCAGATGTGGGTTTTTAAACAGACTAGCGAGTTCAAATGGAAGAAAAGGACGACGAAAAGGAGGCGCTATGTTTACACAGTCATCATAAAAACAACAAATTATCTCCAAGATGATTAGTCACTTAAGGTAGAAATTA